TTCACAATTTACTTATTATCCTAAGTGATAAATACAAAAAAATGTATCTTTCCAATATAATTATACTTGTATTATATGCAAACCCATCACACTTCGTGCGCGTATTGCAAATTTTGTTTTCACGAAGTAACACAGAGTACGTAAAAGCATTACTACAAAAGCATGTTGCAAATTTGTGTTTTCACGAAGTAACACAATAGTTTTAAGTTAATTATCAGCTAATTAAAATAAAGTCATTATTATTTTTAATACAAATCATAAGCTTCAACCTTTTGAGTTCAACGTATGTTAAACTTAGCCCCGATTTAAGCTGTTTTATGGTCAGAATTCAAATTCTTTTCGTGCAGATTACTTCAAAAACGATTTTCTCGAAATGGAAATTTTGCTCAAATCGTGAATTGTGTTAGTTCGTGATGTGAGCGACGAATTGTGCAATAAAATTGTGTTTACTATTATTGATTTCAAATGAGCATGATATTATCCATGTACTGTCTAGACAGCCATGAAACCCTTCCATTCTAGGACAACTTTTTGTGCTGTTAAAGGGATGCATTGTTTAATTAGTAAGATATTTTGCCTCAAATGGCCCAAGTGCTAAAATTGCGCAATAACATTGTGCGACTATATATTGATATATTTCAAATGAGCATAACATTAACAGTGTTCTGTTTAGAACCATGAAACCTATATTCTAGTACACATTTGTATGCTTATTTAATTCATGATGTCTGTTAAGGGACAGAGTGGTTAGTTAGTATGATATTTTGCACCAAAAGATGGCTCAAGTGCAAGAATTGCATAGTAACATATATTTTAAATATGAGCACAATATTATCAGTGTACTACTGCCTATAGCCATAAAACCTTTAATTCTAGAAAAACTTTTGTGCTTATTTCAGTCACGTAGTCTGGTAAGGAACACAGTCTTTAATTAGTAAGATACTGTACCGACCCCAGAATTATGAAATAACAGTGCTTTTCACCATTCTCGCACAAGAGCCACTTTTGGGGGCCCAATATCTTAATAATTAAATATTGTGTCCCTTACCACCAGAGTGCATGACTGAAATAAGCACAAAAGGTTGTTTTTGAAGTAAAAGTTTCATGGCTCTAGACGGTACAATGTAAAATTTATGCTCATTTAAATTCAATGTCACCGTTGTCTTATAAACGCTGATACACTGAGACGCTGATACACTGAGACGCTGAGACAAAGATGACGTCATTGAAATTCACCGCAAAGTCATAATGCACTGAGTGGAATCGAAAGTCCGTAGTTTAAATACAGAAATTCGGCCCAATTACGGACGTACGGAAATATAGATAAATACTACGGAAATACATATAAACTACGGAAAATTACAATAGAGCCTATATTTATGGGAAAGCCCCAA